ACTTGAACAATGGGCCCTATCCAACAAAATAAAATTCATTGTGGAGAAAAGCAAGATTTTACGTCTAGGCAGGAAAGGCCAACGGTACAAGTACAGATTAGGCGAAACCTGTCTCAAAAACAGCAACTGTGAGAGGGACCTTGGAGTCCTAGTGGACGATCACTTAAATATGAGCTAGCAACGTGCGGCAACAGCCCCAAAAGCTAATACAATCCTTGATTGTATAAACAGGCATAGAATGAAATCATGTTATAAAAGCTTAGTAAGGTCACACCTGGAATACTGCATCCAGGTTTTGTCACCACATTACAAAAAAGATGTTGAGACTTTGAGAAGAGCAACTAGGATGATTAAAGGCCTGGAGACAAAAACATAAAGAACAGTTGCAGGATTTGGGTATGGCTAGTCTAGAGAAAAAAAGGACTAGTGGTGACATAATAGCAATATTCAAGTATTTGAGGTTGCCACAAAGAGGAGGGGGTCAACTTATTTTCCAAAGCACCAGAGGGCAGGACAAGAAACGAAGGATGGAAACTAATCAAGGAGAGATGCAATCTGGAATTAAAGAGAAACTTCCTAACACTGAGGATAATTAACCACGTTGGTTAACCATCTGAAGCGTCCAGAAGTTGTGGGTGCTTCATCGCTAGAAGTTTTTAAGAAGAGACTGGGCAGCCACTTGTCTGGAATGGTAGAGGGTCTCTTGCTTGAGCAGGGGGCTGGACTAGAAGACCTCCAAGGTCCCTTCCAGTTCTATAACTTATTGTCTATGACTTACAAAGCAGAATAGCTGAGCTCACAACATGCAAACCGAAGGCTAAATTCTGCTAGAGCGTCACCATGGTGAGGCAAGGGGTGCTGGCAGCATCAGAGCTGGATGTATGATGGGTGGCTCTTACACGGAGAATAGCAAAGCCACAGATCTTTGCAAGAGACTGCAGGAAGCTGTTGGTAAGGCAGAAGCATCTCTTTGGCCAGGCCAGGCCTGAACCTCCGCACCCTGCACTGGGCTCACAACGCCTTACGGCTGAGGGAAGGAGGCCGTCCAGCTGGGCAGAGCTCCTTGGTCCAGATGTGACAATGGGAGGAAGTCCAGAACAATTGCAAGATTCTGTCACTCGCCAATTCCAGCAGTCTCTGGAATCGATTCCCTGGTCTGGTCTACTTCGGGCTGATGTGCACTGACCCACTTCTCTCGCCATCCAGCTGCACCCTCCCGCCAAGACTTCTGCCTGGCACGGCTGTAGGGTGGTCAGTCTGAGCCCCGAACATCGGTTGGTCCAAAAGCCTCTTTGGTCTTAAGCTAATCAGGCTGTGCAAAAAATCTTGTTTTATAGTTTTTGTTTCAAATTGGAAATAATTTTGTCACAAGCACAAGTATTTTTAACCAGCTTAATTAGCCCTGGAAGATAACCCCTGAATTAATTTCTTCAGTCTGGGAATAACTTTGGTTTCATGAGTTAAAACATGCTTTTCCTCTTTCAACTGGGCAGTTTCATCTCGGGCTTTTTCTAGCTGAGCCGGATGTGGCCCCGGGGACTCTCAGCTTGTTCCAGCAGACAAAAGTGTGCTGTAATTTTCTCCCCCCCCCCCCCGCCTTGCCAGCTCCTCCTCCCATTTCCGTCCATCCACTGGCTGGCCCAAGGCAGCTGCAGGAGTCGGCCGTTCTCTGAGCTGGCCGGGTTCCAGCATCTCGCTCTGTCCCACACACTTCCTCCATTTGGGCCCCTGGAGCAGCGGCTTCTCCGTGGCACGCCTTCCAGCTCCCGGCATCTGAACCTGGGAGAAGAATTTCAGCCAGTCATCTGGGCTGAATCTTTTCCTCTGTTTGGCCCCCGGAGTGGATCTGCCCAAGGACCAGGTGTCCTTTGCTTTGGGATCACCCCATTAGCGTGTAATAAAGGCAGCAACGACCACCTGCCCTTCAGCCATAGCGCCATGATTTGGGTCACTGCTTGACTGTCAGCCTAGGTTGACTGCTAAGATGGGCATCAATCCACTTTGCCCAAAATTTCCATTGCCAAGCGAGACCATTGTTAAATGAGTTTTGCACCAATTTCCAACCTTTTCTGTCACAGTTGTTAAATGAATCACTGTAGTTAAGTTAGTAACATGGTAACTTTGAATGGTCCCTAAAGTAACTTTGAAGGGTTGTGAGTCGAGGGTCAAACTTCCTGCCCGCTTTTTTCCATCTGAACTGACACAGGATCAGCACCCTCTCAGAGGAAGGCTGAATTGCTTTCCTCAGCACCAGTAATGGTAGGTCTTCATGGAAATCCTCCTGCCAAACTCTAGCTTGGTCCGTTTTGCCTTCTGGCTGGAAGTATGCAAAAGCAGGAAGTATAAAGACTAATTTTTAAAAAATAAAAATAACATTGTTTTGTTGCATTTAAAACTCCATGACGAGGGTCAGTTTTTGCCCCAGATTTAATGTGCAAAAAGGCTTTACGTATTCCTGGTGGGCCCAGCATTTGCTGGCTTTTGTGACTGTGTGTCTAGCAGTCATCCTAAGAACTTTTGTTGATGTTCTTGCCTTGGAATTCTGATAAGTTCTCCACCTTCTCATGGTCTCTTTTTCACCTCCATTCTTCCAGATATTGAGGGTATTTATAACAGCATAATAATGTTCATACTCAATCTGCCAGGAATTTTGCTGTGGAAATTTCCACTTCCATACGGACTATCCTGCCCTTCAGCTGGAAAGGACAGTCCAGCATTTGTTTGCAGATGGACATGGCCTGGCTGGCCTTTTTTATTAAATACACGAGCAGCTGGATGGATTTGTTCTTGTACCATCCAGATTTCTTTCTTAAGACGTGAACAGGATGCAGATGGCAAATAAAAGATATTGCTGGAATGTCCAACTATCAGCTAAAAGTTGAAGACAAAGCCCTCCAGTGTGGACTTCAGTAGAGCCTGGGTCTGTTTCAGCCCTGCTCTACTCCTTCAGGGGAAAGAAAAGCCGCCTTTGTCTTACGCTTGTGCAAAATTCCTTCCTCCACAGTTTCTCATCCCAAGGACTTTCCTTTGCTTTGGGGATTGACACGGGCAACGGCATTTGAGCTTCTGCAACTGGAGTCCCCAAGTGCGGGATTTCTAGGCAGATGCAGAAGATTGCGTTTGCCTAATTGTCTTCTCACAATATAAATGTTTGAGGAACCACAATATCATAGAGTTGGAAGGGACTAAAGAGGTCTCGTAACGAAACAACAAACAGCAAGAATTGGCTTCCTTGGGGGTTTAAGTCCAATCCTGGAGCAGCAGAGGATAAGTTCTCTCCCTCTTCTGTGCCTCTCAGATGCTTGAAGTCTGTCTTTAGATGCCCACTCGACCATCTCTTCTCCTCTCTCTCTCCCCTCACAGGAAAGAGATTTCCTGTAACTCTTGGCTGCTCTTCTCGGCCCTTTCCACTCCCTCAGAATCCTCCTCCTACTGTGGCAACCAAAACTGGACTCGAGAGGGGTCTGGGCAGAGCAGCCTGGAGCTGGGCCCTCAGTGGCCTTCCCTCCTTCCTCCAGGGACACAGCCGTGATCAAAATGGGATTGAATTCAGTAACGAAGTTAAGCATCGTCATCAACCCGTGGAGTGGCATGGCCTGCCCCAACCCTCCAGGCAGACCCTCTCAACTAGCCAGCCTAAGCTCTCCCCACCAGCCCCTTCATGCCCAGGCTGGCTCAAAAGGCCTCCGAGGACCCCAAAGGGAAGGCTGGCCTGGTCCCCAGCTCAGGTCTGCCCACCATTCTGACGAGGAGCCTCCTCTTGGGAAACGCAGCCAGGTTCAGCACACACGGAAGAAAAAGCAGGTCAACGTGTCAGCACAAATGACTTTTATTGACAGCCTGTGAACAATGACCATTTGCGTGTTTATGCGTGTTGCACGGATCAGTTCTTCCAGCCTCCCCAATCAGCAGACAAGCTGCCAGAGCCGGTGCATAGGAAATGCTTTTCCTCAACCGGGCTGCCTTCCCTGATGCACCAAATACCAACCGCAGCAGATCGACCGGGAGCAGCAGATCGACCAGGAAAGGGAGGGAGGGGCTGTAGGAGGCAGCCATCCTCCAAGGAATCTTTGGCAGGAAGCACATTGGGGGTCCCCCCCATGTGGAACCTGCTGGGCAGGTGGTTCCTTCCATCTGCCTCTGCCCAGGGACCTTCTCCCCTCCCCCAAAGAGAGGTGGACAAAATTTCATTGCTTCAAGTGGATTTGGTGGCCATTCAAGTCTCTGAATGTGGATCGATGGGTAACAGATCCAGGAAAAGGATCATTTTTCTCTCACCAGCCCG